ACGACGTATTCGATTCTCCAGTGTTTACTGCACAACGGCCTAATTCAGATGGGACAGATGCAACAGATGATCCAAACATTGATGTAGGAGTAATGACAGATCCAAATCCTGTACATGACCCACCCATTTCAAGTTCACTCGATCTTCGCCAACGAGATTTTACTTTAACTGGCTTTGAAGAGTCAGAATCATATCCTGTTGTATTATAATTAGTACTTAAAGGTGCTGAAATATCCAGCGACATTGCTATCTTGCTAGAATTATTTTCCTTATCACATTGCGTCTCAGAATTATCTATTTTTACTTCCTGAGAGATAGAAGGATTTATATTATTAACTACTTTATCTTTTTCTTGTTGAAGAGTTACTTTTGAAATATCTATGTTAGGCTTTGTAACCAAGCCACGTCCGCGAGATCTAAAAAAATTAATTTTTTCATATTAAAATTTAATTAAAAAATTTTTTTAAAACTTAATTAGAAAATTATTTATCAAAACAAATCGTAATTTTAACTTTTTTAAAAAATAGTATTTATATTTTACTAATATGTAAAATAATATAATATAAAAAATGTTATATATATAAAATATATTAATTTTTATCACATTAAAAATAAGAAACTTATTTACTGTAATTTTTATATTTTAAGATTAAATTATTTAATGTCATACCTCTGTTTCATCAATCCAATAGATCGAATTCTACTACTTCGTCTTACTCCTGAACTATTTGAACCGCTCTCGGAACCTGTTGTATCAGTACTTCCACTACGACCTCTAAATTCTATTTTTTTATCAATATCACTTGTATTGCCAGTTGCATTTTTTACATCATGCTCGCGTCCTTTACAATTGGTAAGCGATAATAATGTATCGTTACTGTTTTCACTACTGCTGCATAACTTAATATCTTCGCAATCGATTTTGCTATTGTCTCCTTCACTATCTTGATATTCATCAATAGTTGTTACATGTTCAGGATTCTTTTGCTGGCTTATATTTTTCTTATCTTGTGTTTTTGACTTTAATAAAACTCGATCTGTATATTGAAGTTTATCATTGCAAGAATTGGGTTTCAATAGATTTTGTTCTTGATTTTTAATAATATTATTAGGTTCCACAGTTTTCGAAAATATTTCTGTAATATGAGAATTAACAGTATTATTTGGATGATGCAACTGCTCCATTTTATCTAATATTGATGAACTACTTTCATCGTCGATATTTAAAGGGGACAGTTTTTCCACATTTAAAGGAGTTTGTACCGGAGAGTCACTACTTTCCACACTAGAGAGATCATTCACCAATTTTTGTATCTCTTTTGAACATTCATTTATTTGCATATTCGCCAATTTAGTATCTATTTTATTAAACGTATCTTCTTTTAATAAATCTGTATGCATACTTCTTGCTTTCAAGTCTTTACCTTCTCGCTTGCAACTAATTCTTTTTTCATTAGGAAAGCCAGAATCCACTTCAGTAGAACACATTTGCACTTTATCAGATATCGATTCTGAAATTTCCTTTCTTATTTTATCATAAATTGTTTTATTATTCTTTTGTTTTTTACGATCTTCTAATACAATTTTCTTCTTGTTAATATAAGGTTTATTCACATTGGAATCCATAATATTACAATTTTTACTACTTGAAGTTACCGATTCATCCGTATTCACAGTTGATATGGAATTTTCTAATTTATTACTATGTACACTATTAAAACTTTCTCGAATAATATATTCATTGTTCGAAATATTTTCTGAATTAGATGTTATCACCATAGATTCATTCTCATTTTGTATCACAGTAAATTCCACAATATTCTTCTCTTCTACATTAGGTTCATTAACAAGTAATACTTGTTCAACCACAACATTATCTTGTGCCAAAGTGTAACTATTGTCTGCAACATCTTCTTCCATTTCCATTTCTTCACAGATTATCGTTTCCTCTATGACACCTTCCGACCACATCTCCACTTCGCTCGACGCAGATGTAGGCAGAGATTCATTGCTTGGATTTGGATTACCGACAACGACTTGTCGTACATCTTCTGGACTAAGTTTCTCTGATTCATTAATTATATTATCTATATCATCTTGACTGTCACTTTCACCCGCATCCCGCTTATATTGAGAAGCATTGTATACAATATTCTCATTATTTACAACTACATTGTTAGAGATACCTTTATGTTTGCTATGCTTCTTCAGAGAATTTTGATTCTTCTTTGATAAAACTCGGCTATGATCCTCACTAGTAGATTTGGAGTTTTCAAAACTGTTTGAGCAAGATGTTTCCAAAATGTTTCCATTTATTTTCTTTTCTTCTAACTGTTTCTTAGCTATCTGTCTGCTAGATTTACGCACAGGTACATATTTATGAGATGATTTTTCAGATTCTTTTACTTCGGTTTTACGTCTACGTGCCATTTTGATTCCATATATATATGTATTTATACAGTCTCAGTCTGAAATAATTAAAATTAGCAAAATTAGATTATCATAAATCTGATCTTTATTCAAGGCAAATGTATCATCAATATATATGTATATATAGATTATAATATTATATACATATTTCAATATTTTTTCTTTATATTATTATATTGTTTATATCTGAAACAATTTTGCAATATCTAAAATTTTATATAACTACTAAATAGCAACTTAAAAATCTCAGTTCTAGAAAGTGCCAAATACATTGATAATTTAAGTATTGCTTGCTATATTTACACTTTAAATAAATATAAAAAAAGAATTATAAAAATTATACCATACACACACACACACACACACACACACACACACACCACACACACACACACACACACACACACACACACACACCACACACACACACACACACACACACACAGCAAGAAAAACTGATTTTCTTACAAAGTTTTTTAAATCAAATGTTTTGCTTAAATAATGCTTGTTACATTTATATAAATACAAATATAAATAAAAAACATTAACAAAATATATAGATATATTAATCTCAAGGTCAGTATTATCTTAAAGACCGCGTTTATGTGTGTGTTCTATCTTTAAAATTAAATACACATAACTAAAAGATGTTTCTCTAGTGTATATCCCCTCTCTGAAATATATTGCTTTCTCTCTCTGCAACATTTGTGAAGATTACAATTCAAGCAATAATATAAAGCGTGTATGCATATTATAAGGATTCTTCCGAGAGAATCATCCAATCGTTAGAGACAATCGTATTGCATTATAAAATAAACCGTCCTGTCATGAAGTCGTTTTTTTTTTTTTTTTTTTTTTTTTTGCAAAGACGAGAGACATCTGATCACGATTCTTTCGTCCTCGCCTCGTAATAGATCAATTGCATTTCCGCACTCACCATATACTTCTGAAATCACGTCCGGCAATTGCAACACAAAATTCATCGCTCAGAAGGCTGCTTAATAATATCTGATGCTTCCAAATAAATGCTGTTTCGTAGTTTTCCAATTTACCGACATAATAACTGAAGTACGGGATAGCAACGAACCCGCTAAAACGGATCGCTCTGAGGACGGCTACGTATCGTAGTAGGCTCAACGAGGCTGCGAATTGTTATCAACTTTGACGTCCCGATGATCGGAACACGCTGTACACATCGATAGCTCCTCGTCGATACGGATCTCTTTCTCTCTCTTTCTCTCTCGCTCCTCTCCGTCTCCTCACTCTCTCTCTCTTTCTCACACTCTCTCTCTCTCTCTCTCTCACTCTCTAGGGTAGCTGTATGAATTGAATCTCGCTCGGCGTTCGTCACCTTTTGGCACTAAACGAAATAATCCTCCTATGCTCCTCTGGGCGAGCTTTATTCGGCGATCCTGTCAGGTGCGACCAGAGGAAAGACCATTCCGTTAAAAGGCCCGGAGAACTCGCGAATAAAAATCGTCGCGATGTACATACATTCTCGTGTACATTTATCGCCCACTGAGTGTATATCGCTTCCTCGGCTCCCCCGTGTACGGCTCTCTCGCTGTTGCGAATGACAGCAGCGCCACCGACAGCCTATAGCGGAACGCGAAATTACGGCAAAGCATAGACGAAAAAAATAACAAGAGGGAACAATGAGGGCTCTATTTTCGGCAAACAGAGAGTCCATCAATGAAGCGAATCAAGACACCCGATTGGCTGAGCGCCATATTATGTACTATCGATATGTACTTTCGATATATTGCAACTATTGATGCATCTATAATATTTTATATCTACGACAATCGTTTTCGCGCGCGAATTATATTAATATACTACGAGATTTTATTCGAAAGTAAAATTCGTGTAAATTATTTCTTTCGCGTAAAGTTTCGTGTGCTCAAAAAGCGCGGTCCCGATTCGTTTCGCAAAGAATGATCGCACGAACGTCGTATTTTCTGTGCAGCTAATATTGGTTTGAAGAAGACAACGAAAAAAAGGTACGTGCAAGTTCGAAAATGTCCGCTTGCGCGAATTATACGAGAAATAATTTCTTCGATTATTCTCGTAAAACATTTCTAAATATTCAACTGCTTGATTTATTTGTCGTTGTATGCGAAAGATGATTATAAAAAGATGACTAAGTACAAAGTTATATCTTTTTTTGAAAATATATAAAAATAATTTTGTGAAAATATCATGTAAAAAATATATAAAGTGAAAATATATTTAGAGAATATATATTTTCTTAAACATATATTTACCTTATATATTTCTATTTTATAAATTATATATTTCCTATAAACCATTAACATTTGAAATTATTCTCAGTCTTAAATTTCATATATTTTTTATAACTTACAAAATGTTTAATAGATAATTTTATGCTTAAAATTTTAGAAAAATATTTCTTGTCAATCTAAATATAGTAGTCATAATTCATGATTTTCAATTTTATATACGATTGGAATAGAGTCAATAATTATTTTATTTCTATATAAAAAATTATAGATAGATATTAAAAAATTGCATTAGCTATAATTAAATATAATATTTTATGTTGTTACGTTTAATGCAATAAATATCAAAAAATTCCAATTATTTTATATTTTTACTTTTAAGTATATAGACTTTAAAATTGTTAGAAATGTATAGTTCTCTTTTTGCAAGCTATATTTATAACAAAAATATGAGCACTCTAATTATTACAATATACACACAACTGTTGTGTTGCATGTGTTCAATATGAAAATGATTTATGTATTAATATTTGAATATTTTATGGTCCCTATTATACAATTAATCCCCCATAAAAAATTCCCGTCAAATATAATAATATATATATCTAAAAATAAGTAACTAATGAAATTATATATATATAACACTTTATGTCAGAGATTTTGTTGCTTATTATCAGATTTAGTTTTTGTAAGCGACACATTAGGTACAGTTAAACTATCACTTGCATCTTGAATGCTTTCAGACGTATTTGTAGTAGTAGATCTCTCACTATTGGAATTTGAGTTTTGAAATTTAGGCGTAGAAGTTCTTCCTTTTAAAAGCACAGCTTGCTCGGTACTTTTGCTAGCTTCTTTAATTGATATTGATGACACATCACTAATATCAGGAAAACCACTTGGATCATGTAGTTTTTTAGTAGGAGAAATCATTCTTCTAGCTGTATTTACTGGTGTAACATCTGAATTTGAGGATGAACTAAGAGCACTTGCTTCTCGAGTTTTCTTTAGTGTCGTAACAGCCCAGCCCAAACCTAGTTTCTTCAAAGCAGTTTCCATTTCTTCTGAAGATGAAGCATGCTTCAGAATATCTGACGATGGAGAACTCGTTATTTCGGAAATTCCAGACAATCCAGAAAAACTGTATGCACTAGTGGACGTTGTTTTATGTTTACTATCTTTATATAGATTATTAAAATCAGTACTTATAGAAGAACCGAGTTTTTCTTTTGTTTGAGATATAGGTTCCTCAGTAGTTGTGTTACATTGTAATTGTTTATTACATTTTTCAAGTATATACTCTTGTTCGGCTTCAATTTTTATTGCTGTACTATCAGCTGTATTTTTTAATTTTTCAGGAGATTTAGTTCTAGTTTCCTGTAATCTCTGTGCAAAGATCAATTCCTCAGCAGAAAGTTTCACACTGGATGTTGGTGATTTTTCTGAAGAATGTTGAGTCTGTTGAACAGGTAAAGGAGCCACATGCACTGAAGGTTTAGATTTTGCAGGGCTCTTGATACTTTTAGTAACTGTATCTGTTGTATCAAATTCCACTATCGTTGATAGTTCATGCCCTGATGATTCTAATTCTGACCTATTTGGATTAAAATAAAGATAATTCATGAAATATAAAGAATAAATTTAAAATAAAAGAATAATTAGAACATCTGCATTAAACAGAATTATTAGATTTAGTTTACCTGAATGGTCCATTTAACAATGTAACAGGAGGTTTAGGTCTTGTACCTATCGATGTCACAATTCCATGATTGCGTGATATTTTGGGAATACCAGTTAATATGGGAATGAAATCATTTTCTTTTGTTACCTGAAAATATATATATTTTTAAAGCACAATGTAAAGTAATATATCAATCGTATTTTAATGTTTATCTAGTTATTTCTTCAAATATTCAATATTAAGTATATGTACATATAAATATGAGGAATTACTATTAAAATTCTCGACATATTTAAATGTTGTTTTTTACATTTGTGTTTTCAAATAAATAAGATTCTACATTTATATTTTTTTAAGTATGTAGCATACAAATAAAAATATATTATTTACCTCTTGAGTAGAAGCAACTTCTTTTATAATACTATTATCTTTTTCATATTCTAGTGAGGTATTATTTTTAAGATTCTTAAAAGACATTTTATGTTGCATAGAGATTTCATCAGTCCCTCTTGAGGCGATGCTTGCCTTGTCTATATTCTTACTTTGTTCCAAAATTTCTTTCGACAATTTTTCTATTACCTCTTCTTCATGAAGAGAAAATGTACAGGGAGGCCAAGAATTACGATCTGACATTTTTGTTGCTTGAGGCTGCATTTTAAATCGATTAAGTTCTATATTAACTCTTTCATTGCTTATAATCTTTGGCTTAGCTTTGCTTTTTACTACTTCGGATTTCTGTATATGTGCTTTAACTGTATCTAGTGATTTACTTCTAGGAGTAGAAGTGATTGCTTGAACTTCTGCATCAGATGTAGGTTCATCCCTTGGAATTGCTTCACTTCCCACAATTCTTTGTGATTCAAAGAGAGTTCTTGCAAGTTGGGCATGAATTGTTTCTATACTCTCAATCAGCCTATGCACTGTTTGCTCATCCTCACGTATCGGTCTTGATGCAGTAGGTAGTTGCATTAAGCTAGTTTCATCACTTGGACTGATTAACGAAAAATCCATACCTGTAAAATAAAATATGTAGTTATTTATATTTCAGTTATATTTCAAAATGTGCAAAAACAATATTCTAAATATTCAATCTGATATATATTATTTAATATATTATTCAATTAAACACAATAGTTAATTATTTAAAGTAATTAATTGGATTCTACTCACACACAATAATATAAGAATATTTTATACTACTGATTAAAACTGAATTGTACGTATTATAAAAATTAATTTTTTTAATGCTTTACCTTTCTGTTCGTTTCGTACTTTTTCAATAAGATCAGTTAAAGATGCTATTCTTTCTGCACACAAGTTCTGAAGATCTTCGTATTTTTGTAATATTTCAGGACAATTTTTTAGCGCATAATCATGAATATCATCGAGTCTTGTATGTAACAATTTACATTCGGGATTTTTGCATATACAGACTTCGGATGATATTGAAGGCTGTTGCATAGATGTAATTGGCTGTTTTGATGTTACAGATGTTCTCTGACAAGTATCTGATGGATCTGTTAATGTAGACTGATCCTTTTGTGTCGATGAAAGTATAGTACTAGTATCATTAATTTGTGAGTTATTCATATTGTATCTAAGCATTCTGCTTATTCTATCACGATGTGGAATATTCGATGGCATCATCATTGTACGTGGCGAAGGAGTTTCTGGTGTAGAGACTGGACTGACCTCATGTCGTAATCTTCTTAATTCTTCGGGTCCTGGAGTATCTAACATCTCCAAAATTGGTGTAACATTAGTCAAAACGTCAAACATCGATTTAGGCTTTACAGGTGGTGGACTTGCAAACGATGTCGATGTATCGGAAGTATCCTTTATTCGAATCCACTTTTTCATTTGCGTGCGAACTCGATACGGTTTACTCGAAGTTTGTTCTTGATCGTTCATCCCTGAAAACGTTTGCGAGCTCTCCGCACTGGCGTCTATCGATACTCTTGTTTCCTGCGATGGATCTGTTTCATCGGTGAATGCAGACTTGCTCACATGTATGTCGACTCTTCTACTGGCTGTGTCCACCGGTGCATCTAAACATTTCGTCTTCTTTTGAGGACTAGTCAAACGAGTGCTTGACTGAGATCTTGAGAATCTTTTCGTAGGTGATGTTGCTTTAGAACTGACGGACGTTGAACGAATCTTCTGATAAATCCGAGGTGATAATCGCTTCGATACTCGTACGTTGCTTTTTCTTTTTTTAGGTGTTATAACTACTTCTTTCCTATCAATTTCAATGACCATTCTGCTAAGTTCGGAGCTTGTTGAATCACTACTGTTACTACTCTCATATGTCTCTGGTGTGATGACAGTAATTTTTGGTTCAATTGGATGAGGTATTCGATCAGTTGTATCTTTGTTGGAAAACGGTGTATCTGTATCTTTTTGAGGCAATTCCACTTGTATACTTTTATTCTCTGCTGGACTAATTTTGTCTAATTCTGCCTGTACAGCAATTTCAATCTTCTTCGCAGGTAATTTGTCCGATTTTTTCGTCTTTCGATCTTTCTTTACACATTCGTCGTTGTTAGACATATTTATAACTTTAATTTCGGGAGATAAAGGCTTGGCAGCTTTCGGTGTTTTTTTTGTCTGCATTTTATCTTCAAAAACCGGTTTTATACTTATATTAAATATATCATCTGGCAAACTTGAGCCAAATTCCTGTAGCAATAATCTTTTTTGTCTTTCGACCTTTTTCAGCATGTCCAATATTTGTTCTTCCCGTGACATTTCGCTATTTTTATCCCGTTGTATATAACAAACATCTGTCTCATCATCAACGAAATGAGATTCTTGCCATGTGGAATGAGGTACAGTATTATTTTTTCTTTGCGTTGGTAAAGTGATTACTCTTTCTGCGAGATGAGGATATTGAGCCGGCGTACCATCAATATCAATAATTTTTTTTGCTGCACGATTCAATTTCTTTTGATGTTCGTCTTGACATTTATTTCTCTGATGTAATCGTGCATGTGTATTTTCTTCAGTAGATTGAACTTGACTAGCTTTTAATCTGCGCTCTTCTTGTGCAAGATGATCTAGATTCTGTATAAGTGCCTGGTAATCCCTTCGTACTTTTTCTCGCAAAATCGCATCTTCACCGCGACGCTGGGCATTTAATTTATGGCTTTCCAATATGTACGTTTTTATATTCTCTGCATCGTTTATCGCTCGTGCTGCTTCTACTGCATTTGGCTCATTTCCAATATCGATTCTTTCAACTATACCAGGAGGCCTATTGTAGACATTCCTTTGATGCATAGTATGGTCATACAATCGCACTTTGCTCTCTGTTGAAGATGTCTTTGGAGCTTTATAACATATTTGTTCTGTGACATCAGAAAAATATGACGAATCGTCGCTAATCGAGTTGGAACTATTACTGCTGATACTACTACTTATGCTATCTGACATATTTTGTGTATAATCATCTGGATTGTATCTTGCTACTTTTTCAGCCTCGGTTGGTGTAGTACTTATAGTAGGCACTGTTCTTCGTGGTAGTTGATCATCGCTTACATCATTGGTGATATATTCAATATGATTAACCCTGCTTCTCTTTTCTTTAGATGATTTATGAGATTGTACAGCAGATTGCTTTTGTAATTTTGAAAGGCCTGGTTTTGGTGATGCTTTCTGATGTTCTTTTAAATTAGATTTCTTCGATCTTTTGGGTGATTTTTTGGAGAAAATCTTTTTACTCTTTTTCTTTGGAGTTAATGTTTCAGGAACAACTTCTTCATTTGTATCTTCTTGGAAAGAATTTGTTTCCGATCTTTTATGTTCTTTAGGTGATATTAGCACTGGAAGTTTAGCTATCATTGCAGCCCTTGTATTTTCTATTTCTCGAACTTTACGTAATTTTTCTTGGTGAGCTGCTTCTGCGCTATCTTTCTGTTTTGCTTCTTTCATATGTTGTATAGCATCTTTTCCTCTTTTTAAGGCCATAGCTCTGTTTTTCCTTTCCTCTTCTTCTATTATTAGATTCACATCTGGTTGCAAAGCAGCAAGGGCATGGGCTTGACCAATATCTTCCAAATCTTCCTCATATTTCTGTTGTATATCCATGATTTTCCTATCATGCATCCGCTTGAGCTCTGACCTTCCATCCTTTTCCAATTTGCTAAGTTCTTCTTTCGCTATCTTTTTAGCACGTTCCAAAAGTCGATTTGATATTTCCTTTGATTGTTGCCGGACCTATATTAATAATACAATGTATCAGCTTAGAATTTTACAACATTTGACTAATATTTATGTACTGTCAAACACACGATATAACTGATTACAATTCTCGTGTAGAAAATTCCATGCAATCCTAGATTCCAAGTGAAAGCAAATTATAGATTTACACATTATTTGTATTTTTTAATCTGGATTAAATAAAAAAAATTTCGATAAAACCTGTAATATACCTGCTCCAGACGTAACCTTCGTCGACGATCACGTTCATTCTTTTTGATTTGATCTAAATCCGACAGTACCATTCTTCCACGGCGTATATTTGCAGGATTCCCGCTCACAGAAGCGTGTATTGACATATTTCATTGAAGAAGCGTTAAACCTATACTAGCTTTTATTATTGTTTAGCTTTGTATGTAGTTTAACTCAAATTTAAAATGACAGGAACGGCAGGAACGGCCATTCTGGTTGTTGACTCAGTGCTGACAACCCAAAAACAACAAAAACCCCTAGACAATTCAAAGCAAAGTAGTTTTTTATTTTGATGTTGTATATAATGCAAAATTGCAAATTATATATAAAATTTTATTCAAATTGTGATGTTAATAAAAGTGATATATTGATCAAATATTATAAATAAATAATAATATGTAACTTATACATATATACATATATATTATATAATATACATATATATAATAATATTATAACTATTATAAATATTATTATATTAAAATTTATATTATATTATATACACTGCAAAATTAGGTTTGATCACTGACGAACCTCGTCAGTGGTTTAATTAATTAAGGCTTGTTTAATTTTTAAATTATGTGTACTTCGTGTCAGAGTGGTTTGATTAATTTAGGCTTGTTTAATTTTTAAATTAGGCGCGCCTGATCGGACCAATGACAGCTGAGCGCTGCTTGCGATTACGACACAACGATCGACCAATCACAGCTGAGCGTTGCTTACGATTTCAGTGCAACTATCGGCCAATCACAGCGCGAGAATAATCTTGAGATATTTTAAACGCGAGATACAGCAAGTTGCGCGCCAACAGTCTTCGGGGCCTCGTCTTCGGTCGTGTCGGTGAGTCGAATTAAGTGAATTTCGCGAGTGTTTCGGCGATCCTGCTTGGATCAGTAGCATTATTCGCGATGCAGATCGAGAGGGGAATAATCGAACGTAAGAAGAAAGGCCCGAACGATGATAATTCGATCGATCCGTGTTTCATACATGCATCGGAGGCATTTGTCGGTCGCGAGTATTCGAGCCGGGAGTGCCGTATTGAGGAATTTGTGTGTTTTGTTCGGTCGATTTAAAGTGGAATAAATCCGAAAGTGTCAGTGAAGTGAAAAGAAATGAGCATAGTGAGTGTTGCTGGTGCTAAACCAGCTCAAGTGCATTTTTGGATTACGGGAAGAAAGAACCAGCTACCCCATCCCTCTCCCTCTCCCCTTCCCAAGGTCACAGGATTCATCGACTGGTGAGTGCATTCGTTTAATTGCACTTGGGTTATGAATTGTTTTATGCGCTCTCGATGCTCACTTAATCACGCTTTCGTGATCATTCTGACGATATTTCGTCGTAAGACATCAATTTCCGTACTTCGTTGAAAGATAGTCGACATGAATCTCTAGTCTACAAGGATGAAAAAAATGGCGAACTTTATAGATTTTATAGATTTTAGATCGCGTCGGTAACTGTTGCGTTTATCATGCGAGGTATCATTATTTATTTTTAATATACGTAACAGAAGTCGACATACATAATCTCTGTATTATCGACTGCGACTCAATGCACTTTGCAGCGAATTATCGCGAATTATAATACATTAGGGTGACAAGTATCATATGATAAAAAAGAGCACATTTAGATTAGGAAATATTTTTCCATAGATGTCGTTATCTTCGAACAAGATGATACGCGCGTGAAAAGCGTCTGACGAAACGTTTGATTCTTCTTAAATTTAACTTCCATTGATGACCTGGATTCATAAATACATTATAAAAGTATTTATTTATGAAAAATGTGTCTTTATATAAATATGATATATGACTCACAGAATCGCATTACGCGTCTCGATACAAGATGAGATGAATTTTTCTAGTGACACTAAAATATTTTTTTACAAAAATTATGATAAAATTTTATAATAAAAATATATTACAAAAATTAAAGTAGTAATGTGTAAATAATTTTATAATACATTATAAACTAACGATTAATAGTTGTTTATTGAAATAAGCTTTTATTATTTACAACATATATTATTTTAATTCTTTATAACATATTTTTATTTTAAAGCATAATATGCAAATTAACGTTTAATAAGTTGATTTCTGTTAAATATATTATTTCAGTTTAAATAAACTTTATATAACTTTAAAAAGAAAATATACCTACTTTTAAATATAAAATTTTATTAATAAAAGATCTAGTTAACAAAAAGCTAAATTTTTAATAAAGATGCTGTATTGCTTGAATCAAATAACTTCTTTACGAAACATTCTATAATCATTCTACAAATAAAATTTTCTTCCTGAATGATATAATATAAAATCAATCAACAAATATTTTCAATCTTTGTACAGCTATATACACTTTGCACCCCACTTTTTAAAAATTAATTCTTTAATACGGAAAATGAAAGCATTTTGTTTGTAATTGTTTGTAGTACTTAACAATAATTTAGTTTATAATATGCCAATTATTATTAAATGCCAATTATTATTAAATGCCAATTATTTATTATTTATGATAATTAATTGTTTATGACGCTAAATATTTTATAAAAGTATGGTAACAATTTCGTCATATGAGAAATCGAGGTGATTATTTGTCGATAGAATATTCTGAAATTTTTTTTTATAATGATGATATTAATATAATATTATATATTTAGAATAATATATTTTACACAATGTTGATGTGATATTTTAAGAGATCTATTGAAAAAATCACTCTACAAGATACTAATCATTTTCGCTAAGGTAAAGTTGACTTTAAATTCAGGCCTTTGACATCCTCCATAAATATTTGTTGCAGTAGTTGAAAGAGTTCTTGAGATGAAACACTTCTTTAAAATAAAAATGTTTTTTTATTTCTATTTTGGATCGGCCGCTTATTGTCTTGTTTTACTCGATCCGTTTATTCGTTTAATCAATTAAAAAGAAAAAAATTCAAAGCGACCAGTTTCCACTTTGAGATATTTTAAATCCGCATGCGCAGTTTTTTTTTAGAATCGTTTGTACTTGTTTATAGTGATTTTCGTTTCGTTTGTAGTTGCACGATTTTGAATTTGCAATTGTTTAAAAAAAGAGTCAATAGTAAAATTTATCAATCTTAAAGATTTTTCATATCTGTTCTTTCCAGGTGATTTAGATTTGTTGTAATCGGAATCAAAATTTATATTCAAAGAAAAAGCAGATTTAAAAATCTTTAAAATTGACAAAAATCAGTTTTGACAATTCTTTTAAACGATTGTAATTTCTAAACCGTGCAACTACAAAACAAAACGAAAATCACAAGCAATTATAAACGATTCAAAAATAGATTGCGCGTTCGGATTTGAGTTATCTGAAAGTTGGGTACTCGTCCTAATTTAAAATTTTTGATATATTTACATATGACTATGCGAACGATCGAAATACTATCATTTTCTGTATTAAATCATCAATCCCTTAAAGTTAGCCACATTCACATAACTCAAAACGCGACATTTCTAAGTGCGAATAAGTCTTTAACGGGAGATATATCCATGTAGATCTTAAAGGGAAAAATTTAAAGAGTGACCAGCTTTAAGATATTTTAAATCGGCCTGAGGAGACTTTTTTAGAATCGTTTCTAGATGTTTGTTGCATTTGCAATCGAAATTTATATCGATGGAAAAAGCAGAATTAAAAAATCTTTAAAATTGACCAAAATTACTTTTCACAATTTTTTTAAACTATTGTAATTTCCAAACCGTTCAACTACAAACAAAACGAAAATCAAAGTAATCTAATATTTATCTCGTTTTCTTTTTACTGAAAGAGAGAAAGAAGAGATAAAATTATTAGAGCATGAGAGAAACTTCAAAAAGAATCTTAAAAACGTTATATGAATATTTTCGAGGAATATTTTCATGAACGACTTATTGTTAGAGAAATCATAAAATAATAATTTAGGATTCAAAATAATATCGGATATGAGAACAGGAATGTTTGTTGTAAAAACCGTGAAACAATCGATCTCGCTTTCTCGTGGCATATTCCGCTAATGTAGGGAAATTCAAATACTCATATTGACCTTCGCATGTATTTTATTACGAAAATTTGCTTGGCGATAATGATTCTTATAGCATAGACAGAAGGACATTCTCCGAAAACAAATACAAAGTATCTTTTATCGTTTTAACGAAACTGTAATCATTATCTAGCTCAGAATATTCTTCCGCCTCTGAGACGCAGGCAAAAAAGAGAGTTATATTATTTCTTTTTATTCGTTCATAAAAATCTTAAATATTCATTGTCGAAAGAGTATACTCAGAGAAAGACTCGGCAAAATTACTAGAGTGTGAAATCATTCGCTGACAATTGAAAGGTAAATAAAATTTTTAACGTCCATCGGCGGCAAATATTCTATTGTCACGTACGAGTATACGTAGTTGGGACGATCGTAAGTGCTACCAGCGACGTAACTGTTTCGCAAAAAAATAACTATATTACGAGAAATCGACGAAAATCCATACTGCGAAATAGAATTCCCAATCTACGAAAAATCACTATTTACAAAATTTTTTTACTTTTGTTTTTTATTATGTCTTATACTGTCTACATATTAATCTCGTATATAATTCCTTTTACGATAAATAATTAGATCACAATGATGAATCTTATTTCTTCCGCGAAAAAAGTTGTAACATCGATGTTAAATTTTTTGTTTTAAAAAGATTAGGAATATCAATACCTCACAGCACATGAATTTCTTCGAATTCCTCATGATCATGAGCCTAACTATAATTCGCACACATTGTATTGTACAATGCGTATTCTCTCGATGCATGTACGGCGAAAAAATATCAAATTTGGGGTTTCTAAGGAGTTTGCGCAATCACTTTACACCGTGTGTGAATTGTAGTACTACTTGCATTATATACATGAATTTTTAGCTGTGTACGTTTCTCTATCCAATAACAGCGGTGCAATTATGCGGTTTATTCCCAGCCTATAGCCGGCTACGGTGTGATAATTCACATTATCGGCTTAATCTTATACGCATCGAAATGCCAGTTTCGCGCACAAAAGGCAATTTACAGCATTACAATCTTTTTTCGCGTAGCGCGTCTCATGCGCCTCTTCTTCCTATTTATTCGCTATGTATTCATATTATAACATGTGTTAAGATGCTACTATGTTTTTAAACGCGCAGCGACGCGATATTACTCGGGTCGCGATAAACTAACTAATTAAGGGACAG